ATTCAGTCAGTCGTTCAATTAGAACTTAGAACATCAGTTTCAGCTGCCGTAACATAAAATTAGCGCAGAGATTGAATTGTCAATTCAAACCACATAGTAGTAGATGAAGTAGAAGTATTAGCGGTAATGGAGAAGATTAGGGATCGAAAATATTATTCAAGAAGTATAATCCAATGAAATAAATTTAAGAAGAGTAAAAAAGAAAGGTGATGAAGAATTCAGAAGATTAGAATTTCAAAGAACACAAAGGGTGGATGCATCTGCGCCATTGCAAACGATTTTTAGCCATGTCATTCAAGATCTTTAACCATCGGTTACTATCGTCTCGCGGACCCCAACCAGGTAGTCTACATCTACCAACATGACTCAGTCCATTCTTCAATGACTTCATGGATTTGTGCCATGTTTTGGTCTGACCACCCCTAGTTTTCTTCCAACATACTCTTACAACATGAAATATAGCTTTTAAAGGCAATCGGTGGATAGGCATACGTAACACATGTCTGAACCACCTAAACTGATGAAGTTTCACTACTTCATCTATTGATCTGCCATCCTTACATAGTAACTGACCAATTTATTGTAGTAATATACTCTATTTCAAATAATGTCATTTATAAGGATATTCACCGAATATCCTGCGAAGAATTATTTTGTAAGTCTAATTCTGTTGGTCAGTTCCTACTGGTCAGTATTATGGTCGTCCTGATTACACTTCAAATGTTTTTCCTACTGGTCGCCTTAATTGTCAATGTCATAGACTTTGATGCTGTTTCTTATTTGACCTAATTGTATAAATATGCATTATCTGTAACGTTTTATGACCCGGATCCGGATCCTCAGTCCAGGATCCTGATTCTCTTCTGGATTCGGACCTCGCACTTTCTGGATGCTTTGTAGGATACACGTTCCAATTCATATCAAGTCTTCTTCTATTTAATGGGGGAGTTTGGGACTCGGTTTAGAATAGCATGTCGTGTCACCCGATCCTTGATCCTCATTCTCGTTTACTGACTAAGGTAAACTCGTAACAATTAAAGCATATCGAATTGACATGTTTACGTGCATGTGTAACATATAAGATTATAGTTAAGTGGATCAATAATTAATAGTATCCGATCCAACTGCTTTGCTACTCTTGATTGCTTTCATTCTATACAAAAAAACTATCAATCCCCATTTTGACACTTACTGAAGCAAACATTTCTTCTAATTTCCTTCTAACTTTCGATCAACAAATGCGATTGTGGGCGTTTCAACTAGTTTTATTATCAAAGGTTGTATTCCTTTTTAGCCATATTTAATAGCAGACATAATGATTACAAATTTTTCAATAATATTAATCGATTCTACAAGCATCCAGGAAGTACGAGGTCCGAATACAGAAGAGAATCAGGATCCCGGACTAAGTATCCAAGTCCAGGTCATAAAACTTTACAGATAATGCGTATGAATAGGAACAACACTGACTTCTGTAACATTGATAGTTAGGACATCCAACGGGAAACATCACTGAAGTATGTGACATTGCCAGTTAGTACGACCAATGGGATACAACATTGAAGTACATGACATCGATAGTTAAGGCGACCATAATATTGACCAATAGAATATCCTAACACACTATTTGTGCACAAAAAAAATATGTCGTTCATTCAATTTAAATTTTTAACGTTTCCAACTTTTGTTTTACTGTTATTGCCTTCATCGATTAAAACAAGTAATATTGAACAGTTGTGTGATTGAATTCCGGTTTTTTTCTGAATGTTTCATTGTCATGCATCGGTTCCATGTTAAAAAAAAACAAAGGGAAAAACGTGTTTTGAATTATGTACTAATAAAAATATTTGTAATATATGTATGTAATGCGACGAATACTTTCATAGAACAAAATTTATTCGTAGGCGAGACTGACTGTTTTGTACTGGTTTCAGCCATGGTGTAAAACCAAAATGGAATTCCTTTTTTGGGGGTTTTTTTTGACTAGATTTGTTAAAAATCATTCAGTTTGTTTCGTGTACAACACAATCTGACAGTAAACAGATAATAATTTCAAAGTCGGAAAGTATTGACTAGTTGTTCTGGCTTAATTTTATCCCATCTAGTAAAATATACATGTGTGAGCTACTTATAAGTAGTATATGACGTGAGTGTCAACGTAATGTCTGGCAGAAGAGAAGATGGGGGAAGATCAAGAAAGGAAGAGTTAGAACACAATGGAATTTCTATGAAACGCATGAATAGTGAGTGACAATGGATTGATGTTGTTTGCAATAGGAACAGTCCAGTTCGATATGATGGATTGATATTTTGCAAATGAACGATTTACGATATGGTTTTCAGATTTTACTGAGTAACTCTGTAATTTTCGTTATTATAACCCAGCTATTATCCTAATGCTTAGTGTAGTCTAGGACACCAATTCACTCGAGATATTCTCCCCAAAATCACAACACCGTTGAACATAAAGTAGAGATTACATATTCCAATAACAAGGTTAGAAGGAAGTCAAGAAGCTCAAAAACGTTAGTCTATTTATAGTTTCCTTACATGAGAAGATTCTAGAATGTTCCTCCAGCATCGAGTAGCGCTGATTGCATACGAAACAACCAATCAGCGTGCTTTAATCCAATCTATGTCCCACTAACAAACTACTTATTGACTGATGAGTAACTTATACACAAAAACGAACAGATTAACTAACTGTTTTGTTCTAGAATGACATCACTTAACAGTGGCAGTCAACGATACCATCAACGGTTGAGCCAAGGATCTATGATTTTCCATTGGAATGTTTCACTTTTAAGTCACTGACACAGAATCCACTGGTGTATATGAATGAATACACAATTATTTATCATTATTTTCGGTGATTAGCTGATTGACGCTCAATGCAGCTGAACTCCATTTTAATCACAGTTCGGGATAACAATACCATCCAATCATCTGCACAAACCCCCATATTGAAAAAGCAATTCACTGTATGTCAACGATCACAATGAAACAGAGATTAGATAACTATACATAATAGGTAAAAGTACAAAGATGATAGTCGGAAGACAGCTGTACTGTTAGTAGTAAGAATAGAATAAGGGTTGAATGTTCGAATTCCCATTGCTTCTGTTATGTGTAAGAGACGGTATTGAAATTCGTTAGGAAATAATCGATCACTCGAAATGATTCGGTTTTATCTATGTTATGATCGATGTACTCAGGTGTGCCAAGAAAGAGAAGCGTATAATTTTTATCTGGCCCCTTGTATACCATTCTGAAAGATGTTTGCTCATCCACGATCCCACTTGCTGGAATCAAAACCAAGACCTTCATCCTGGTACGCGTAAAATTCACTTATAGACCACTGAGTCCGGATCCAACAGTGTTAATGTGCAATACCAGGATGCGCACTGTTGATAAGTTCCAAACTAGGATGAAACGACCGTGTAGTGCTTCTAAGTTCCTAATGGTGGTCTAAGAAAGATCCATTTATGATTTCAGTGAAACTCAACAATCTCTACAACTTAAGCAATTCATATCAAATCATTTGTTGCTGACTTTTCTTCACGATTTGAGTTGGTTTAGAGTTGATGCATTCATTACAAAATCTGAAGTTTATCGATGGGCATCACTATGTTGTCTTGAATCAGAAAGAAACAGATGCTCACTGTGTTTTGGTTTACAGTAGTACCTGTGAGCAATGATCAGTTAACTGTCAAATATCATTTACGGCTGTAAGTGATATTTCATATTTTCTCATCCACTTTCAGAGGTTATATTGTAACTCTTTGTTAGAATATTCATCCAATATCCTAAGAGAATTATCTTTGTAAGTCTAATTCTATTGGTCAATTTCTACTGGTCAATATTATGGTCGTCCTAACTGTCACTGTCACAGACTTCAATGTTGTTTCCCATTCGTCCTACTAACTGGCGTTGTCACTTCAAATGATGTTTCCCGTTGGACATCCTAACTATCAATGTTACAGACTTCAATGTTGTTTCCTATTCAACCTAACTGTATAAATACGCATTATCTGTAAAGTTTTATGATCCGGATCCTTAGTCCGGGATCCTGATTCTCTTCTGAAGACAGAACTCATACTTTCTGCATGTCCGTAGAATACATGTTCTACTTCATATCAAGTCTTCTTCTTTTACTCAATCGGGGGTGGGGGCGTGGACACTCGAATTAGAGTAGCATGTCGTGTCACCGGATCCTCACTTTCGTTTACTGACTAAGGTAAACTCGTAATAGTTCAAGAATGTCAAATTGACATGTTTACGTGCATGAGTAACACTCTTTCATCAAACATATTGATCTTTTCCAAGTTTCAGATGATTTCTCTTCAATCTATCTCTATGTTGGTTCATTTATGTTTACTTCGATATATACAGCGTATTTTTGAAAAAGAAGTAGTTTACTTTACAGTGGTATCATGTGGCTGATTATGGTGAAATTTCGTTTTGTCAGCTGAATACTTTGCGTGTAGAGCTCTCATTGTATATTCCTGAATAACAATATCATCAGTAATAATATATGCATGGTTAACCAACAAGCCAGCTGCACATGCAGGCAATAGTAGCCAGTAGTAGCCAATAGTAATCACCCCTGCCCCAATCGGGAACATATATAGTGTCCAGCTTGGTCCGCAGACAGGTTGGACATCCAAAAAGTACGCTCACGAACAGTGGCCCCCGCTCGGGCACTTATGAATCAAGAGATCCCACAATCCCCAATCGGAGAGGGCGGCAAGGCGGGCTTACCCATCTGGACATGGCACCCCGAAGCGGATTACCGAGCCACCCAAGCAGTGCACTAACCAGCAGCCTTTCCAACCGTCTGGCCTCCAGCTGACCTCGTCAGTGATAAACTTCGAGGAGAATTGAAGTATTCACATTTTGCTACTTAGGTTGTCTTGTTGACGCCCATCTGGATTGATTGTTAGTTGACCTTTAACCTGTCAGTCATTGTTTGCATCTTTATTTTCTTTTTAAATCAACAGGTGAACATTTAGATGAAATTCGTGAAATTGAATTTGTACACAATATGCGTGAAATGATCAATGGGGAATTTCGTCATGAAATCGATCAATTCGGATGGACATTTTTTAAAGCAATCGAAGTTGACAATAGTGGTTTTATATCACAAGCATCATATCGTACATTACAAGAAGCATGGCATGTTGGACGTGAAGAAGCTGAAGGAATGTTTAAAGTAAGAAATATTGATCGATAATAATTTTCGTTATATTTTATTGAATAAAGATTGATGACTGGGGCTAAACAATATGGTCAGATATTTCAGTCAAAGTATACCAGATACCAATGACCTTCAGAGGTTCTATCAACCAACCAGAAAATGTTGTCTAGTGTTATAAAAACAATCAGCCGCTAAAGGTCGTTAAAATGTCAATGGAATAATTGATCTGATCTAATGAATGAGTCATCAACTATTCAATGTCTAATTATTCCTTGTAATGAAAATAAAAGGCTGAATTCACTTATCAAAAATCAGTCGTCTAGTGTTATGAGTTAGGGATACCTACTCATAACTCAGGTCTCATATGGTCGAAGATTGAAAATCTTGGAACTGCGAAAAAAAATCATTATCGGACATGAGACAAAGGGTATCAGGAGTGTTTGGGCCTGTTCGCATCAAGCTGGGCTGCCTCTTCTACTATCCTACGGCATATATGTGTATACCATATGTTATATTCCTTTATAGAGCTGAAGGTTTCCTATGAGACCAGAGGTTCGCTGTGAACATTGTAAATGGCTTGGCATTGCTTTGGCAAGCATCACTAACAGTTCATATACAAAATTAGTTAGCAGGGCATCCGATTTCATTGATATAGGTGGTTGTTTTACAACATTCCCCAAGGCCATTGTCATTGGGGTGCTGTATTACATATCACCATTCCTAATAATAATGAGTCTGACAGTCATGTAAGTGGCATGGGTCGCAATGGCCTGTTCATGTGGCGCATATTGACCGTGAAACGATCATGGATCGGAAATAATCACTATATGTATACTAGTGTACATATAAATTGTGTGAATGGTCCACCCAGGTATCAGGTACCTGTGTGGTGGTTGCACCACGGGATTGAGCCGAACTGTTCATGTCGAAATGCTAACACGTGGTCACTCTCCTTAGTTCTCCTGAAAATCAAAATTAAATTGCCCTTGACAATATAGGGTTAATTCATATAAAAAATTGTTATGAGTTAGAGTTTTCTTCACCAACTGAGGCCAGGTATGGTGCGAAAAGAGTTAGGGTTATGTATTAAAAGTTAGGCGATCGTTTCCTCCTGGTATGGGACTCATCTGTGACAGTGCGCATCCACGACTCCTGCACCTCGCAGGAATCCAACCCAAGACACTCGATCTTGAGCGCGAACTCTTAACCTCTGGACCATTAAGCCGGTATCTAACGCTCTCAATGTCTAACTTCGATCAATTTACGGTCTTACGCAACCTCATACACTACCTTCGGTAGTTACTGTCTACACCCAAAGAGGTTGAACTTTACTGATCGCGACTTCTCACTGGAACTCGGAGTAGATTCCTTTCGGATCTAGTCACTAGTGAGCACAGGTAATTGCATTTCGGGGTTGTGACGATCGTTAAGGTACTCATTGAGAACCTGTTCGGGTGTAAACAGTAACTACCGAAGACAGTGTATGAGTTTTGCGCATGACCGTGAACTGATCGAAGTTAGACATTAACACCGGTTCAGTGCTCAAGAGGTTAGGCGTCCACGAGCAAGACAACTAGTTCTGGGTTTGAATCCCGCTAGATGCATGAGTCGTGGATGCGCACTGTCACAAATGAGTACCATACCGGGACGAAGCGGCGGTTTTTCAATGCTTCCGAGTTTCACATGTCGGTCTAACATTGGTCAATTCATGATTTCAATGCATAACTGAACCATCTTCACAACCGCGTAATGAAATCATAATCACATCAAATATTTTTGTGTGATTTGACTTAGCTAATGTTCTAAGCTTTGTTTTCTTTTACATCTCATCTGTACTTCAACCGAATAGACTGAAAAAATATACAGTATGAAGGAAGTTTTTAAAAAGAAGATATCTGTCTATATTTGGAAATCTTACAATACATTCACACGCGTATGACATAAGTGACTAAAAGTAAACCACTGTAAGGTCAAGGTCAAACTTGGTGTAAGTTAGGAAAACACATTTGTTCAAAATTCAATGTTGTTTTGTCAATTTTGACATGAACTCATGAACAACAGTTGTGATTTGTGTGTTTTATGTGATTAAAAGAAATGAATTATTGTACAAGGTCTATATGTTACATTTGGAAAGTACACAATACTTGTCAAGTTTTTCTCATAAATCATTTTGGTTACATCATATTAGGTCAAATAAAATGACTGTGGGAAAACTTACATCTTGGGAATAAATTTATCATTTAGAAAGAGTCATATCAGTAAGTAGGAAAGAAAATTTTCGTTTGTAAAACAAATATCCATTCCTTTTCCTATCTAAGGGGTGAGGATAGATCAATCGGTAGCACAATCCTCGAACATGCAATCAACTCAGGTCACAATTCAACGAATGAATTATATTTGAAAATCTTCTATAAAAAAGGGAAAGAACCAGCTCAAGAAGTGGTTCCAATGAGGAAGTTGTGTAAAGTTGAGGCTATAGCAATTTATCAGTGAAAAATTGGTCTGTGAATACAGAACAGTCATCTCCAAGCCCTTACTCTCTCTCTCATGGTCCTAACATCCTTTTAGATGTTTATAAATTATGAGTGCTCGTTATTGCCTTTGGCGCACTGGTCCAGTGGTTAGGAGCTCGTGCTCAAGACCGAAGGTCCTGGGTCCGAATCCTGCGAGTAGCAGGAGTTGTGGAAGTTTTCATCATGAACTGACATCAACCATAATGTCGAAATGCTATTTAAACATTAAATATCGCGCCAAAATCCAATACTTTCAATTTAAAGTGTGACTGGTTCACCAATCTAAATGTCTACAAATAATAGATTGAAACCTTGAACATGTGCGGTTTATTGAATAGTTATCGTTGAATTGACCAATCAGAAGTAAGCTGATTGTTCATCGGTTACTTGCTCACTTGGCAATGTACTCCTACAAATCGAAATCAGCATTGGAAACTTGGAACCACTGTAAAATAAACTAACTTTGTAGGTAATGCGTTCTCTTCACACTTCACACCTTTTGTCCTGTGTTCAATTTGCAATGTGGATTTCACCTACAGAAATCAGATCTTGATTTTATTGAGTAAACTTATCAAATACAACTATTTTGGGGCACAGTTTTGGAGGTTTGCGTTTTTACACTTTTGAAATCATTAAACAATCATTGTTAGAACCATTGTTAGAAACCTGGAAGCAATGGACGGCCGTTTCGTCCTAGTATGGGACTCCTCAGCAGTGCGTATCCACGACTCCTGCTCCTCGCAGGATTCGAACCCGGGACCCATGGCATTGTAGGCGAACGCCTTACCATCAGACCACTGGGCCGGCATCCAATGGTGTTAATGTCTAACTCCGATTGATCCAGGGATTTTGCGCGACCTCACCCATTTGTCTTTGGTAGTTACTGCCTACACCCGACAGGGTTGAGGTCGCGCAAAATCCCTAGATCAATCAGAGTTAGACATTAACGCCGTTGGATGGCGGCCCAGTGATCTAATGGTAAGGCGTTCGCCTACAATGCCATAGGTCCCGGGTTCGAATCCTGCGAGGTGCAGGAGTCGTGGATGCGCACTGCTGATGAGTCCCATACCAGGACGAAACGGCCGTCCAGTGCTCGTTCCAGGTTTCTAATGGTGGTCTAACAATTACTGATCGGTGATTTCAAATGTGTAAGAACTTAAACTAAACTAAACTTTCATTTTATTTTTCCTTTTTTCTTCTCATCAACAACAACTTTTTAGATATTAGATAATGATAAAGATGGTAAGATTAGTAGTGATGAATTTCTCACTGCATGGAATGAATATTTTCTTAGTGAAGATCCACAAAGTCCATATAGAATGTTCTTTGGTCCAGTGATTTCACGACCAACAGAAGCTCGATAATGAAATGAAATGACATATACCTTGCATATTACACACAAAAGTTATCAATCATTCAACATTGACCTGATCATACTCACTCACTATATATATACAACATGTTACATGTTTTAACATTTAGTCAATAAGAAGAGCGCGAAATTTGATGATACACAACCACACACACACAAAAACACACACCCAAAATGGTTGATTATCGACTTTTGTTCTTTTTTTCTCTCTCTAATCGTTCAAACAAAACACGTAGATGACAATTCACATTGAATTGCTACTGCTAGATATGCATTTCATTTCATTTTTAATTTTTTCTCGCGTAAAAATACCATTTCAATAGTAGTATATGCATTTGACAAAAATATAATATACCAGTTGAACGTTTTGTTTTTTGTCTCCTACAAAAAAAATCTGTCCGCCAGTTTAAAAAAATGTAGCGCATTCAATTTCAATGTTCAATATTTTGTCTGTTTTGTTTTGTTTTACTGCACTCATTTAAAAAAATGTCCATTTTTAACCGAACTTTTGAAATTCATCGGTACATTTTGGAATTTATTTACATATACAATAATTAGAAACATTTTAAAACAGAAAATAAGTAATTAGTAATGACAGTAATTGTTATTATTATTTTAATTATTATAATTATCATTACAAATAAGTAAAAAAATGTTGTTGCATGCATTTTATAAATATATCTATACATATATATATTAGTGAAATGATTATACGTATTTATTGACCGAAAATAATAAAACAAAGAAAACCACCTTGATTAATAAAATCTTTGTTTTTTCATGTGTTTATTTCTTCTGTTGTTAGAGTTTGTTTATTTGGATAGGTGTGGCATTTTTTTGGCGGGAAATGGGAAAGTTATAATTTTTTTGAATTGATGATATATACCTCTGAATGGTATGGAATTCATTATACAATCCAAAATTGTTACGCCTGCATGTAAACACGTCAACTTGATATACTTGAACTATGACGAGTTTACCTAGTCGGAAACGCGAGAGCGAGGATCGAGGATCCGGTGAAACGACATACTACTCAAATCCGATTATCCCGATCCCCATATTTAGTTAAAATAAGAAGACGTGCTATGAAGTAGAACATGTATTCTACAAGCATCCAGAAAGTATGAGGTCCGAATCCAGAAGAGAATCAGGATCTCGGACTAGGGATCCGGGACCAAGGCCTCGTCGTGGTCATAAAACGTTTCAGATAATGCGTATTTATACATTTTGGTGGAATAGGAAAGAGCATCGAATTCTGTGACATTGACAGATAGGACGACCAATAGGAAGTAACATTTGAAATGACATTGACAGTCCTGAGGACCAATAAGAGACAACATTGAAGTGTTTGACATTGACAGTTTAAACGACCATAATTTTGACCAATAGAAATCGACCAATACGATTTGACCAATAATTCTCTTAGGATATTGGATGAATATCTTAACAAAAATATCTGTTAAAGACCTTCTGCCTTACGCTAAAACAATAAACCTCTAAACCATTGGGCCGACATCCCAAAGTGTTATTGTTTAACTGTGATCAATCTAAGGATTTTGCGCGACCGCATCCAGTTGTCTTTGGTAGTTACTGCTTACACCGGAACAGGGTTGAACTCCACTGGTGTTAGTGGGACATAGATTGGATGAAAGCATGATTGAGTTGTTGCACGCCGATTGGCTAATTTGTATCCTATCAGCGCTAATCGATATTGAGGACAAAATTCTAGATACTTCTCATTTAAAGAGAGAATCATAACAATAATTATAATAATAACAACAATATCCTCCTTTTCGTGAAATAAGTGATATTTGAAATGTATTGAATTCATCATGTGATCAACATATCTGTTTAGTTTTTGAGAATTATTGTTTGAATAAATGGAAAGCATCGTAATACATGTCAGTCAGTCAGTTACAACTTTAAATGTTTTATGTAAGTACAGTAGTTCATGTTGCCATACCACATTAGCACAGAGATGCAGTTGTCAATTCAAATCCCATAGTAGAAGAGGTAGTAAACGTATAACAGTAATCGGAGAGATTAGGGTGAGAAGATGCTATTCAAGAAGTATAATTTAGTGACGTAAATTAAGAAAGAGAAAGATAAAGGTGATGAGGAATTCAGAAGGTTAAAATTTGAGAGAGCACAAAGAATAATATACATCTACCAACATAGCCCAGTCCACTTGTCAGTGAGATTTACAATGCATTTCTAAATAGTTCACTCAAGTTGATTAGATTTCATAGATAATCTCCTTAAGATTTTTGAAAATACTTTCTTTTTCTGAATTCAAATTACAAACTAATCTTAGCTAGGTCACTGGTGAAAGTCTACAAGCATTGAATGACCATTTTGAGCAATAGACCAATGGTACTGGGTTCCAGTTCTACGTCCAGAATCATGGGAACACATTACTAAGAAGTTCCATACTCGCAAGAAATAACCTGTCACGGACAATCCAGCTTAGATTAAGAGTTTAGGATTTAAATAGTGAAAATACTACACTCTCCATAAATTCTCTGTACTAAACTTCTTTTTTTCTCAAAGACAAAGATAGTGGAGAACATTCCTAGCTCACATAGATAATTATGATGGAGCTTCGTTCTCTCAGTTAGCTGTTTTGACTATGGAGCTTTCATTGTTCCTCTCAACAACAACATCATTGTCAGCACAAATTTCAGTTAGAGAAATGTGGCATTCAAATTTCTTCACATACCACCCGTAGTTTTTCTTGTGGACCTCGATCTTGATTAGGTGTTATTGACTTTCACACTTGTCATTGTCTGTTTCTTGAGCACAGAATCAAGAACCATATCAATGAGGGATATAATCAAACTGAAGAGGCAGACAATGACTGATTAAAGGTCGATAACAACCAACCTGTCAACAAGATAAGGTACGACAGGTTATATGTAGAGAAATTCGAATACTTCACTTCTCTACCTGAAATTTGTATTGATAATGATGTTGCTCATCAGAGGCACAGTTGAAAGCTCCACAACCAAAATATCAAGCATCAAGGACGAAACTCCATCATACACAGTGCATTCGTAACGATTATTATTATTATTGTTAGTATTATTATTATTATTACTATAAATATTATGAAAGTATACAATAATGTTAAGAAATTGTGTTGTGATACTGTAGTGGAACATTTCTACTAAGAAAACGCGATTGGTAAGAAAATAAACATTTATTATTGTTACACATTTTTGAAACCATGAATCGATCAATGTTAGATCACCATTACAAGAAACCTGGAAGCACTGGATGGCCGTTTCGTCCTGGTATGGGACTCCTCAGCAGTGCGCATCCACGACTCCTGCACCCCACAGGATTTGAACCCAGGACTTTCGGTACTGTAGGCGAACGCCTAACCATCGGACCACTGAGCCGGTATCTAACGGTGTTATTTATTATTGTGTACTCGTTTTGTTTAACTGTACTAAAAACACTGAATTGAGCTCAATGTTCTTTTTCGCGTTGCTGCCATCCTTCATAAATTGCTGCTCGCTGTAACGCCTACTTTTTCTGTAAAATATAAATCCTTTACCCTGGATTAATTTCTGATTTTGATGACGGGATAGTAATTAGTAGTTAGCGGTGATCATAGTGACTCTCAACTCGGTCACCACTAAAATACCTTGGACGTTTCTGTTGGGGACGTTAGATCCCCAGAACTCGCTTGATAAATGCCTTGATTTCGGATTTGATGTTTCCGAGCATCGTCTGATCAGTTGACCTTGAGATCGTATTTCCCACTAGGAAAATCTTTGGCACTGTGTTATTTTAGTGGGCTATTTTTGTGACTGTCCCAAGGACGTTTCTATGATATATAAATAAACGAGAGTTGTGTGCTTGATTGTATTGTGTGATTGCTGGGTGTTTGTAGAATATACTTTCTACGCTATATCAAGCAAGACTTTTCGTTAGTCAACGGATCAGAGTAGCCTACCTGAACGCTGGTTCATTGTCTCGTTCGTCTTTATCGACTAAGGTGAATTTGTAATAGTTTCAAGAATACCTATTGACGATCCTAACAGTTTCAACATTTCAACTTTGATGACAAAACTAGTGGGGGTTCAACTAACGATCTACATGGAGACATAACTATCAAGACTGGGTAAGTTTGTCCATGAAGAGAGTATCATCACTTTGTACTACTGTGGTGTGAGCTACTTATGAGTAGTATATGACGTGAGTGTCAACGTAATGTCTGGCAGCAGAAGATAGGGGAAGATCAAGAAAGGAAGAGTTAGAACACAATGGAATTTGTATGAAACGCATGAAGAGTGAGTGACAATGGATTGATGTTTTGCAACTGGAACAGTCCAGTTCGATATGATGAACTGATATTTTGCAAATTAACGATTTACGATATGGTTTTCCGATTTTACTGAGTAACTCTGTAATTTTCGTTAAATACAATTCGGTTGCCCCACTTGTGTTCTCGTTCACTAAACTACTATCGTCTTTATAACTAAATCAGTAAATCAATAAGTATAAATAAGATTGAATTTATGATGTCACGGTAAAATCACTTTAATGTAAACATGATCATTTTTTTAATTTTCTAAACAAGAATACCTGTTGTCGATAAGTGCATTCATACAGATCATAGACATAATAAAACAAACACTTTTCTCATCTTCTAGTCTAATCTTCTTTGTGATTTTTTTCAAAATAGAAAGGTACAGTTCAGTCGTTACAAACGTATATATAGAGACACTCTGATTTGGACTGAATATGACGTACAACGATTTACCTATCTATCTATCTATCCACACATCTATCTATCTATCCAGACATCTATCTATCCACACATCTTTTTATCTATCTATCTACCTACTTACCTACCTACCTACCTACCTATCTATCTATCTATCTATCTCTCAATTTCTAAATTTCTATAAGTATATTATCGCCGATTAAAACGTATTCCCAAAAAATTCGTCCTTTACTTTTTTGTGTCCGTTCGTATCGATTTGTACTTTGTGTTTAAAATTGTGTTTTACGAAACGAATAAAATGTCAATCAAAACTTTTAAATGATGAATTTTATAGATATATATATACACATGCATCATCTACACAGTCAATGATGATCTTCTATGTGTGTAGAAAGAAGTGGTGTGAAATGACAGAAATGATGAAATTTCAGTTAGGATTTTATAATACAGATTGACAATTAGTCTCATTTCGTATGTTTGCCATATTTTAAAATAAGATTGATTGTTTTTAAGATTTTCAGTTAGCTTGTATTGATAAACCGATGGTCTAGGCAAGACAGTGAAGATTCTGTTGAGCAGATACTATCAGCAACAACAGTTTGTGTGGGAGAGAGAGAGAGCACAAACCAGATTTTAGGTGAGGAGCCATAATTATCGACCACATCGACGGGTGATGTTTTGTGGTGTAGGGGCAAGCTGAAAGAATGCTGAAGGCAGTCTTATCAAAACGTGGCATAAATCTATGAACTCGTTGACATTTGAACTGAGCCATGTTGGTAGGTGTAGAATACCAGGTTGGGATCCGTGAGACAATAGTAACCGATAGTTAGAGACTTTGAATGACATAGCTCAGAGTCGTTTGCAATGCTGGCGCCGGTGCATCCATTCTCTATCTTTTCTCAGATTCTCATCTTCTAAATTCCTTGTCATTTTTATCTTTCTCTTTTGAAATTTATTTTACTGGATTACAGTTCTCATCGAAACCTAGTATTATCACGTACCGTTAATACTTCTACTATCTCTACAACTACTATGGGATTTGAATTGAAAATTCAATCTCTGTGTGCGAATGTGATATAAAAACTTCCAGGTTTCTAATGGTGGTCTAACATTGATCGATTCATGGTTTCAAAAATGTGTAACTTAACAACCTTAACAACCACGTAATGCAAATTACCTGTGCTCATTGGTGACTAGCTTCGTGATGAATCTTCTCCGGGTTCTAGTGGAAAGACGTGACCAGTGAATTTCAACCTGTTCGGGTGTAGACAGTAACTACTATCGAAGACTGTGTATGAGGTTGCGCAACTCCGTGAATTCGATCAAGTTAGACAGTAACACCGTTAGATACCGGCTGTGGTCCGATGGTTAGGCATTCGCCTACAATACCGAAGGTCCTGGGTTCGAATTCTACGGGGTGCAGGAGTCGTGGATGCGCACTGCTGAGGAGTCCCATACCAGGACGAAACGGCCGTCCAGTGCTTCCAGGTTTCTAATGGTGGTCTAACATTGATCGATTCATGGTTTCAAAAATAAAATCTTGAATTGATGTATGTACCTAACAAGTTTTATCTTGTAGCAGCTGACTGACAAACGATCGGATACTATCAACCTTGCAATATCTCTTATACGGAGGATATAGTCCATACTTCACATCCATAGAACAGAAAAGGGGGAAAACGAATTCCAACAGAAATCAAGTGTCTGCATCCAACAACAACACCGCCAAAATGGATAAACTCCACAAGACAATTTTATTTCTATTTAAAATCAGTCAGTCAGTCATTCATTTACAACGTAGAACTTCGTAAGCACACAGACGCAATTGTCAGTTCAAATCCCATAGTGGTAGAGATAGTAGAGGTATTAGCAGTAATGGAGATGATTAGGATTTGAAGATACTATTCAAGAAGTAGTATTCAGTGAGATAAGATTAGAAAGACAAAGGTAGAAGTATCGGCCAATCCAGAAGATTAGGATTTGAGAGAACACAAAGAGTTGCTGCACTTGCGGCATTATAAACGATTTTGAGCCATGTCGTTCAAGGTCTGTAACCATTGGTGAATTTTGTCTCGCCGACCCCAACCAGGTAGTCTACATCTACCAACATCACTCAGTACACTTGTCAGTGACTTCATGGATTTCTGCCATGTTTTAGTTTGGCCACCCTTAACTTTCTTCTAACCTACTCCTACACCACAAAACATAGATCGTCGAGGCAGTCGGTGGTTAGGCATTCGTAACACATGACCCCGACAACCACCTCAACTGATGAAGTTTCACCACTTCATCTATTGATGTTCCATCCCGACCGTAGCTGGTACCTTGAAAGATACAATATAAAAAAAGTTTTAAATTACATTTAACACAATATATTTATTTCATATTCTACACGAGATTAACATATTAAACCTGATTAACTGGAAGAACAAATCGCTCAATGATTGTTAAAACTAACCATCGGAAATGATGAATAATACAGTTAAACATTTCAATGGTGTATCAATGAAACACAACAATGTTCAATCGTGAATTTATACCAAAAATAAAATAAATCAGAATGACAATTTGTAATTGAACAAAACACAGCAAAAAATCTCAGTATTCCAATAATTGATCATGATTCCTTATACTTGGGGTTTGTTTCAGTGGTAATACACATAGCAAACACTTCTAATTAGACATATATATCTATGTAACTGATGTGTTCGTTGATGTGGGAGAAATATATGCACAACTCATTAAACAATGTCTATTTATTTATATTTCAGAATCCCCGGCTTCTTCCGTTTCATCTTGATCATCAGGATCAGTAGTATCTGTCATTAAAACGGAAAAAAACAATGTGATTGTTTTAGTTTCAATATGACAAGATGTGTATTTGCTAAAAGAGAGTATAATATACCTATGCATAGTGAGTAAGCAAAAAATGAAAATGAATATTAAGATTTAGTAGATGAATCTAACTTGTAGAGAAGATCAAAGTCAGTTCGCCATCACATACTTGGAAGCATTGGACTGCCGTTTCGTCCTGGGTTCGAATCCTGCGAGGTGCGGATGTCGTGGATGCGCACTGCTGATGAGTCCCATACAAGGACAAAATGGCCGTCCAGTGCTTACAGGTTTCTAATGGTGGTCTTGACTTTGAAATGAAACATGTAGGCACAGACATGTGCTATTGTTTATACTCGTTTAATCAGTTAAACACAGATTAAGTCAATGAATTTACGAGCAATAATAGTTAACAGTTATGTGATTAAACTTTCTTTACGCTAATTCTCTGTTTTTTCAATCAATGAGATGACTGTTGGTGCAATTCCCGACCTAAGCTGCCACCTGAACGTGGTGATCGGGCTTGTATATTGTGATAATCTGACCGAAATATGATAGCTGGAATACCTGTTTTTTTCGGTTCTACCATACCAGGTAGATCGAGAACTTCCCATAAAAAAAGACATGCACGACCTACCTTAAGCAGTTGTTCCTTGGGCTTTGTGGTCACGCTTCCACGTTGCCAATACCAACGACAATCCAACTTCCTTTTCACATTTCCCAAGAAACACTCTTCTAGGGTGTGGGTAACTGTAAAGTAGCATCCGCTAACATACTCCTAATAGCACACTAAACCATCTTAAAGCCAATCAAATCAATCCTCCTCAAGAAGTGATTATGTCATAGACAGTTAGGAAAAAAACATCACTTTCACTTGTCCTTCGCATTTTAATTAATTTAGCTATTACTCGTTATATTACAAATACAGTATGGAGAAGCTGTTTTCATTCACCAGTATTTGTCTGGTTTTACTCAATTATTCATCGAGTATGTATTCAGAGCTTGTTCTTCTGGCTCTCAAGGAGTGAAGAATATAGATTACATTTCTCTTCCAGTTCAATGGAGCCGGATTTTGGACACATTTAAAATTGCCCACTTCAAAATGATATGTACAAAATGTGGGGGACGTTAAATCCCCAGAACTCACATGAAAAACGTCCTAGTTTTGAATTTGTTTTTGTTTTTGCGCCACAGATGCCTAGTTGACCTTCAGCCTACAGTTCCAACCCGAAATATCCTTGACTGTTATTGGTTGACAACTTATTTGAGTATGCTATTTTTGTGGCTCTCCCAAGGGCGTTTCTATCATTGTATAAATAAGCCTGATTTGTGTGCTTAGTAGCAACCTTGTATCTTCTGGGTGCTTGTAGAATACATTCTCTCTACGCCTTCATCAAGACTTCTTGCTTCAGTTAGTGGGGCCTGGGTTCAATAGGATTAGAATAGCCTACCGCTTTATTGCATCATTGATCTGCGCTCGGTTTACCGATTAAGGTGAACTCATAATAGCATTCAAGCATATCATTTGATGAGCGATCATTGAAATGGAATGGAAGACGATATCCTTAAATGATTCCTGATATGTTTATGTGTTAAGGATAAATTAGGATTTTGAAATAAGCTCTTTACAATTTTTTTATGTAAAATCATTATTATTCAAAATGTAAGTGAATAAACTATTTCATATATGATAAAAGTACTTTAAATTTCACTGGTCGACAAATTTCCAAAAGAAGTAAATGTTATTTTACTATCCTACCCTAATCTCATCAGCTTTTTTGTGCTACTTGTTTTATGCTACTTAAAAATAATTAGTAGTTCATACTAAATATTGTCATTTTAAAGATTTTCGATCGAGTGACCGATTCTTTAAAATCGATAAACCCCATTCTTTACGCATTCAACGTTATGACCAAGTGAATTATTAATTTTTATCAATGTTACACGAATCGAATACAACTATGTCTGTTACTCCTATCGGTTAAGATTCCGCTGTGTGTGAGATCATGGATGTGCAACGCAATGACTAGGATACGATGGCTGTCTGATACCTTCAAGTTTTCAGCACTGATTTCATCCAAACTCATTCACTCACTCACCTTTTATTGGTGTTTCATTGAGCTCCTGTTGAATTGGTGATTCAAATGTGATATCATCATCCGTTTCATTATCGAATTTTAATGTACTTTGTTCTTCATCAGCTTCATTCATTACTTCTCTAATTGGTTTCTCTGTATCGTCACTACTTTGCAATTGATTGGCTTCTTGAGTATCATTTTCATTCAAGGCGGCGGCGATGACTGGATCACTATCAATTAATTGTTCATTATAAATAAGCATTTCGTCATCTGATTGATGTTTACTTGCCATATCATATTCATCATTTTTTGATTCGATTGTGGTGACACGAGAAGTTTTTCGTTGATTTTCAATTTCGAATGAAGTGATTGGTTCTTTGAAATGTGGTAAGTTGATCAGTTCATTGGTAGTTTCTTGCATAGATTCCTTGTTAAAAAAAATTTGAAATACCGGGAAGATAGATTTTTGTGAAATTCAATTTTTAAGTGGATAAATTATCAATCTAAAGCAGATAATGCCTAAAGAATTAATCAGTTTTGTTTTTGAAGACTGACAAACTTTGAGTTTCAATCCTTAATAGGCATGTGTTGATGAGTGGTTGTACACTAAGACGAGAAAGTTTGTCTACAGCTTCCTGTGCTGAGAGTTATTACAAAGTGAACTAGACATCATCATCATCAACATAAATCCTGTAGAAGATGTATGCCTCGGAAGTTAAGAATGTAACTTATTAGATATTATACTTCAGTAGTTTGAATGTTAGACGCTTTTCACAGGGTCTGACAGTGTTGAGTTCGATTGTCAGTGAAGCCATGGATGTACATTGTCTAAGGAGACAAAATAATAGTTTATTGATTTTTAGGATTTTAAAATTCTAACGAACAAAGGTCATTTTTTAAATGTAAAACTTTATATCTAGCTTGGTTTTGAGAGACAACTTTTGTTCGAAGATATACAATGCATTTGGGTGCTTTCCTCAATCTGTGTCCAATACAACCTTCAGCGCTTTCTCCTGATTCCTTCTTCAGCTGGAATCTGGTTTGTTCTTTCCTACAGTAGATTGTTGCTGATAGTATTTGGCCAACGAATCCGAAGTATTTTGCGAAGACAACTGTTAACAACATCTAGTATCTTCTGGATGATGACTTTTGTAGTTTCCCAAGTTTCCACTCCATACAGTAGAAATGTCTTGATGTTCGTATTGAAGATTCTGGCTTTGGTGTTGGTTGATAGTTGTTTTGAGTTCCAGATGTTCTTCAATTATAGTAATGCAACCCTAGCTTTCCCTATCCATACCTTTACATCTGCATCGGATCCACCTTCGATGCACATCGATGATGGTCCCCAGATATGTTTTGCTTTTTACGTCCTTGAAGGCATCTCCATCAAGAGTGACTTGGTTGGTGCACGTTGTGTTGTATCAGAGAATCTTGCCTTCCCCTTTATGTATGTTGAGACCTTCTGCTGCAGAGGCTGCTGCTACACTGGTCGTCTTCTTTTGCATTTGTTGTTGTGTGTGCAGTGGAAGAGCTAGATCATCTGCGAAGTTCAAATCGTTCAACTTTCCTTCAGATGTTGATGTCTTCAAAATCCATTCGATCACCAGGAGAAAGAGAAAGAATGAGAGGAAACGACCTTGTCTGACATTAGTCTTCACTTGGAACAATCAGTTGGTCATAATGAAGTAAATACCTAGTATTATTATTGCATAGATTTAAGCTTGAAAACTACAATCGTACTCCAAAATGAAGCCGACAAGATGTACGCCAAAGGAAATAGAAATAGTTGATAGGAGAAAAAGAGACTAAATGTCACAGAACATAGTTCGAAGTGTAAGGAGTACGGTGATAGAATACCGATTAATAAAGCTAGTTGTAAATTTTGATTGACAAGTAATTGAGACTGCATACATTTGGTCGATTTTTAGAAATAAAGGTACATCCTGCATTGTTCTGTGTTATTTTCTACAGTATGTGTACAAACTTACTTTTAATTCAGCATCTCTGATTTTGATGTAATTTTTTAAACAACGACCTAAATAGTCAATTGGATCCACAGGACGTTTCATGACAACTTCAGCAATATACTGCCGTAATACTGTACCAACATGACGAATCAAATATAAAGTATCTGGTCCTTGTAGTTCATCGCTACCACTATAAAAACTAAAGACAAACAAATGAAACAACAAGAGTTTAGTTCTTATTGTTCGATTGAACAACCACTGAAAATCAATAAAGGTTGAATAGTTAGTTAGTTAGCTGTTTTAACGTGTTTTGATTAACTTCACAGAAGTGCGAACACACGTACATACTGTTAGGATATTCATCCAATATCCTAAGAGAATTATTGGTCAATTCCTATTGGTTAATTCCTACTGGTCAATTTTATGGTCGTCCTAGATATCAATGTCACGTGCTCCAATGCTGTTTCTTATTGGTTGTCCTGACTATCAGTGTCACTGCAAATGTTACTTCCTATTGGTAGTCTTAACTTCCAGCGTCACAGACTTCGATGCTGTTTATCATTCGACCAAAATGTATAAATACGCATTATCTGTAACGTTTTATGACCAGGAACAGGACCAGGACTAAGTGCCGGACTCGTAGTCCGGGACCCTGATTCTCTTCAGGATTCGGACCTCGTACTTTATGGATGCGCTTGTAGAATACATGTTCTACTTCATATCAAGTCCCGTCTTCTTATTTTAACTAAATATGGGGGGGCTGGGATAATCGGATTTGAGTAGCATATCGTTTCACCGGATCCTCGATCCTCGCTCTCGTTTTCCGACCAGGTAAACTAGTAATAGTTCAATATATCAAGTTGACGTGTTTACGTGCAGGCGTAACACATACTCAGTGGAGATTCAATTCATTACCTTGAAGCCATATGATGCGTGTGCAACCTCTAAGCAAATGAACTATACATTAAAACAAGATTTTTAATCGTTCAAGATATAAGAAATAAAAAAATTATGACTTTTTAATGATTTATTCAAAATTATTTAGTGTTGCTATTATGAATTCTCGGAAATCAACTCTAACTTAATTGGTTTTGATAAAATCAGGATTTTCAATATAAATGTCAAGACAGTTAGATATACTGTATGGAGCGGAAACTTGGAGAACTACAAAAGCCATCATCCAGAAGATACAAGTGTTTATCAACAGTTGTCTACGCAAAATACTTCGGATTCGTTGGCCAGATACCATCAGCAACAACTTACTGTGGGAGAGAACAAACCAGTTTCGGGTGGAGGAGGAAATCAGGAAGAAGTGGTGGAAGTGGATAGGACACATACTACAAAAAGCACCGAACTGCGTCACAAGACAAGCCCTCAAATGGAACCCTCAAGGCAAAAGGAAAAGAGGAAGGCCAAGGAACACATTACGTCGAGAAATAGAGAAAGACATGAGAGGAATGAACAGCCATTTGACAGAACTGGAAACGGAAGCCCAGGACATATTTGGTTAGAGAAATCTGGTGGGCGTTCTATGCTCCATTGGGGGCAACAGACGTAAGTAAGTAAGTAATTAAGTAGTCGGTTTTGATACACTTAACTGGTTCAACTATATAAGCAATTCATTAGAGTAGGAGATATTCATTATGAGATGGAATAACATAACGTGTGGCTGCAGTTTACAAAGTGGGACGAAATTTCTACAGCGACAATTAAAAATAAATCAGTTTGGATTATATGTTGTCTAAAATATTAGCTTCAATAATGATCCGATGCTAAACTGGGGCTTGGGAAGAATCAGCCCGAAAAAACTGGGCAGTTTTCAGTTAGGGACTTGGATGAACCGTTTCGAAAATTGATGTTGTTTAGTGTAGGAGTGTACTGGAAGAAAGCTTGGACAGACAGACAAACAAATACAACGCAGAACTTCGTACGTGTAAGTACATCAGTTCAGGCTGCCATACCACAATAGCACAGAAACGCAACTGTCAGTTAAAATCCTACTGGTAATGGAGAAGATTAGAGAGCGAAGATATGATTCTAGAAGTATAATTCGGTGATGTAAATTTAGAAAGAGAAAGATAGCGATGATGAGGAGTTCAGATGGTTAGTATTTGAGAGAACACAAATATTGGATGCACTTGTGCCATTGCAAACGGTTTTTAGCCATATCATTCAAGGTCTCTAACCATCGGTGACTTTCGTCTCACGGACCCCAACCCGATAGCCTACATCTACCGACATGACTCAGTCCACTCGTCAGTGACTTCATGAATTTGTGCCGTATTTTGGTCTGGCCGCCCCTAGCTTTCTTCGAACCTACTCATACACTACAGAATAGCTCGACGACGCAGTCGATGGTTAGGCATACGTAACACATGTCCCAACCACCTAAACTGATGAAGTTTCAATACTTCATCAGTTGATTAGCCATCCCTACCTAGTTTTCGTTTTCTAACGAAGAAAGCTAGGAGCCGACAAACCAAGAGATTGCACTAGACAGTGAAGCCACTGAAACTTGAACTGAGGCACATCAATAGGTGTAGAATATATGCTAGGGATCCACGTGATTTTTGTAGCCTATAGTTAGAGGCTTCGGTTGATATGGCTCAGAATTGTTTGAAACGACTCTGAGGCTTACACCCTAAGTCTATCCTAAAGACCAAAAATTCACTACATCTCATCGAGTTTAAGGATCTGCTACCAATCATTAGGCAGCCAACTAAGAAATCCCATTTTCGCTTATTTCAGGACTCAAAGAAATAATTCATCATATCTGTGTTATTGCTGTCATTTTCCTTATCATCAAGATTCACTTCTACGGTGAGTGTTGTTCCTTCAGTTTGTTAATGACAGTCCTATTTTTACAAGTTTTATTATACGCTGAAGGTGTCAAGATTTAGAGGGCGGTAAATAATAGAGATAAAAGTCCAAAGCTTCAACACGAACTACAGAAATCATCTGAGTGGTCCAGAATTAGGCAGTTGCAGACATACGCTTCAAGTGCATCATGATGCCTAGTGGTTATCAAGGCACAATTACACATACAATTAATTAGACTGAGCAACTTGTTGTTCGAACACAACGAACTAGAATTCATAATTAACGAAGACTTGAAAACTGTATATCACCGTGTAGTAGTCACCAAAGGTTTTAGAACCTTATGGTTAATACGTAGAGCCTTTAGTCATTTTGTTGGTCATAAACTTGAATATTGCAAGTAAGCTAGGTCTAGTTTTAGAAAAAGACTGGGCTATTGAAAAAGGTTCGAGGAATTGCAAAGCTGTCATACAAAGAGGATATGGTCAAATAAAACCTATTTCCTTTATCATATGGAAAGACCAGAGGTGAATTAATTGTTCTTTAAATTATTTATTGGTAAGTTCACGTCTGAAATGCCCTCATCTTCATAATCCTCCAAAACAGCAACTTACAAAGTCAGTCTAAACAGTTCACAAGCCCAAATCAAGTAACTTTTTAGATGAATACTGATACTCCAATTAAATCATCATTAAATGGGATTCTTTATCCTAACACGTGGGTGAATTTTCATCTATCGACGCATTCAAAAGAAAGCCAGATCAGCTGAGATCAGCATTGCTAAGACTAGGGCAAAACAACCAGGTTCCTATCCTTATCAAACTAAGATTGCATTCACTAACTTCTTAAGAGTTATACAATAGTGAGTGTGGGACATAAAATAAGAAACAAGTAATAGGTAAAAACTACAGACGTATTTTACGCAACTTCTTCAAATACTTTTGTCAACATTATTTCATTTCGAATGTTGCTATCATTACAATAACTTACTCTGCATCCATGCTCGCGAAGCTCAGACTTTATCAGGTTTATGTGAAGCTTAAAGTTGCGTTTTGTGCTAAGACAGTATAAAGAGCCACAAGGGCAGGATCTGCAAGAAAATAGAAGAGCGAATTAAGCAAACGACTCGCTTGTTGAATAAAATGAAGCCACATATACTATGAAGACTAATCGATAAAAATTATCATAAAAAAGGTCACGATTAGAACAGATCGATAAATGGTAACAAAATTTATTAATTATAATGTTGCAAATACGGTTCTTCGTACTTGACGTTTGTGCCCAGCGGTTACATTCTGTAGTCATGCCAACAAAATGAACTAATTTTCAATGTCCACTATCCACTCAATATACAATATCCCAAAATCTTATTCGCGAGTTAATATAAACTAGTCAGTTTCTTTGCTCTCGAATCTTGTTCTTCCTGTTCGGTTCGAGGTGTTTGATAGAGTTCAGTGGATGGTAGTCTAGCCACTCGACTGCACTAATTCTAGTGATTAGGCAGTTAGTTGTGAGTTTGTATGTCACGTGAGTCGAATGAAAACGTTTGTTTCACAGCAGTAGGGTTTATGGGGACCAGCAGCTATCATATTATCGGGCTGGAGATCAGTCATTTTATATGTGGAAATTGCTATGAAGAAAAATCTAACTTTAATAGCAAGAGAGAAATTTCAGAACTATATTCAAAATTCAGTAAGTTAAATAGTCGGTAGTGAACCTGGTATGAGAAGCGTTAGGATGTAAAGAAAAACAGAGGTTATTATCAGTGACGGAATAAATTAATGATCCGAGGAAGCGACATTGATGTCAATAAATAAGTTTCGAGAAATTTAGCGGACAGAGCTAGTCCGAGTGAGAGATGATAATCCCAGTAGTTTTTGTGCTGTTTTCAAGTCTGCTGTTTCCCCACCAATTAACGAGATTGATCCTGAGTTTCGGGGTCTCTCTTCGTTCGGTTTGTTATTTAACCCTGTCACCCATTTAGTTGCTCGTCTTTTTATTCGGTATAAGAGATTAGTGTCTCTTTTATAGATAATGGGTATAGCAACGTGGTAAACTGGATTGTACTGTTCTGCCTGTTTTAAAGAGTAATACGAACTAATTTGGGGCGAATACTCCAGGTTGTCTTCGTGTAAAGTGAAGAGTTGAGCTTGCCTTTGCTGTATCTGCTATGTAGTTTGAAATGGTTTTTAGACTTTCCGTAGTTATGAAGCAAAGATCTCGCTCTTAGGAGACATTTAGGAGCGGACTTCAGTAGAGGACGTAAGTTGTTTGTGCCTTGTAGGACAACATGTTTAGGACTCGGCATTCCGAATGGTTGTATCTTAAGTTGTTGTTTACTGCCAATTTTTCTATGGTAAAGTCTTTTTCAGGTGAATTATGTTCGCTACTCATGGACTTCCACATATTAGCTTCGTCTGTACAGAATATTACAGCCACGCTAATTTCATCTAACAGATCTATAATAAATATCAGGAACCGGAATTGACTTTAGGTGGTACCATAAGAAAACCCCTGATTTTGGAACTGTCATGCCTTTCATGTTCTGTTGTCAGCTTTTGAGCTATTTTCTCCCCCTTTCCTACTAGGAATTTATGGAGTACTGTGTCGAAATTCTTCTCACAGTCAAGGAGCATCACATGGACCAGTAACATTAATGTCTTCAGGTTGTCCAATTTAACTAGGTAGTTAGCGAAGACGGATTATTAGCATAAGTTTTAAAGGTTATCTTCAGGCTTCACATACAAAAATGCAGACTCTTAGCTGTCTTCTTTAACATATCTTCTAGTCTTCAGAGCACTTTAAATGCTTCATATACTTGAACCCCACACCTCCCTTGAGCAGTTACTTTCGGGCGAAACTCGACTGCATACTCCTCATAAGCTCTGGTACCAGTAGGATTCACCACACTATGAGAAGATTGTATGCGCAGGACCTGCCTTCATGGAGGATGCTGCTTTCATCCATCTATTTCCTTATGTGTTCATACCGTAGCACTTCTGTCACGTTCAAAAGTATTTGTACTTATGATAATGGTCTGCTGAGAGCGCTGATTATACTTCCAAAAATGGCAGAACTTAGTTCCTATCTATATTAGAAGATTCTCTCATACAATTTCGGAATATCTCTTGAAAAATGATATTTTGGTTCACTCGAGTTAAGATTTATGGGTATCTTCGCCCTTATCATGCCAGATAGGATGACGGTCAACAAATAAATGCGCAAAATAGAACCCGTGAGGAATGCTTCTACGGTCTCAATATGCGCATCGACTGCGTCTCACATTACCTGTGGATTTAAAACTGAAATCGTTAGCCAATTACAAATTTGAAGGTATATGCCAAACTGTGAAATCTACAGTGGATCTGTGCAGTATCTCATAATTGGTTTTCACTTAACATGTAGTGTGTCGATTTACTGAGTGTTCTTAAGCTCGGTAATTAACTCGTCCAGACGATCGTCACTAAGTAGCGTCTGACGGTTTATAAATCAGAACATGAACTCGTAGTGATGAATGTAGAATCCTTTTTGAATGTTTTGTTTTTTGGAAAATCCCTCCATGTTTACATATTTTTGTTATGACATGACGGACTTTTTCTGTTGACATTTTTTGGTATTTTATTTGATTCCAATTTGAGATTTTATCATTGTATATTGTTATTATTTCTATATTTTGTACTTATATTGAAGTTTTTGTGTTTGCTTCTGAACTGTATATATGTTGTTTAAATTTGATCTTTAATATGGCTACAGCCATATTTGGGTTGATACGGTAGCTGTTGGACTTAACGTCACTAATTCATCTTTGTTTTGGATACTCTTCGGAGTAATTGTAACCTGAAAGGTGCATCAATTCCAGGTATTGCTTTGTATTTCCATCTTTTAATATAATACAGACCGTTTTCTCCTAGAATTGTCGTGTTTTCTGGACTTTGAATTGGGAGATACGCGTTCGGATTGCACTTATTGGAAACCATTTGAACCGCTACGGTAGAAATCCGTTTACAATGAATACGTTTATTCGGGACGCACCACAAATCGAAACGGAGAAGCAGTGAATAAAACGAATGAAGCGACGTGAACTGGAGAAGGCTTTTGAGCCAACTCATAGAAATAGAGTATGACTAAGAATATATGGTCAGACAAAAATAAGACAGACATATGACAAGCGAAATAGGCATGCACAGACATGAATAAAAGCGACGAATGACTGACAAGGTCAAAAGCAAGCGAGACAAGTCATGTGAGTTCATAGGGGTATTATGAGATTAACATTAAAGCGAAAAGGATGAGTAAGCGCGCGTGGGCGTAAGCAATGCTCAGTCGTATAAGCTCATACAAACTACACAATAATAAAAGCCAATGGTACATAAAAGTTATTGTTTTACAAATAGCTTGGTTAAATAAATTAATCAAAAGGTCTTAACCAAATTAAATGTAAGCGAACTGGAATATATATGGAGGCACTACAAACACACGTCTTACTGAAATGTATAAAATCAACTATTGTGTAGAAATAATTGCGATTCCTTTTTATAACCGTGCATGACACAGGGAACCAAGTGGTAAGGTTATCAAACCAAGGATACAAGCAAGGTTATTTATTATCACTGTGTCCATAACTTCGATAATGCACACTGTGTCGTGATTTTTATGCCATGTGCGATATTACTGACTATTCACATTAGTTCAGTTAGCATCTGAACTGAAAATACTGGCAAAAGCATTTGTGAATTGCTCGTGTATCTAGCTAAACTCTTAAACACTAGTATCGGTTAGAATATTATGTCCGAAAAAAGTTTGTTTCGTTTTTCCACCTAATTGTTTATGGTGTACGAACTATCGAAACCCAAAAATATCTAATTCCTATCGCAGTAATCACATTTTCACCAGTACTGAACTCAGGAAGGATCACATTGGCAAAAACGATAGTACTGTATTCCTAATTCTAATCAGGCTTGGAATGATCTAAAAGGGCATCTTCGTTGTTCACCACCATCACAACTAACAAGCTCATGATTTATCCAAATGAAGACAGTGGATAAGCAGCTCTTGAATTTATTTTGAGAATTAGAACATCATACTCTATTGTAAAGTTACAAAGTGTTTGAGTCATTAAGTGTTCTGTTTTCCTCGAGTTCATACCGCTCATTAGTCTTAGTAAACACAAACAAGTAATTTACAGTTAACCTGTTCATACTCACTTCCAGCTTCTTCACTTATATATGTGGTTTTTTAATTAATGATGTGATTCGGTGCAGTGTATTTCCCATGTGGCTTGAAATATGATGTACTAAAAGCCAGTTAACGACTAATCCTCGAATACCAGTAGGGGATAAATAAAAGCCTTTGTATAGTGAACCCATAAGAGCAAAGCTAGTATTGGTTCAGCGTAAACTACCCTAATGAGAATGCAATACAAAGAAACTACAATCAGAATTTTAGCTAGTGACTTAGATACATCATATTGATTAGCATCTCAATTCATAACATTAATAGGTGAGTATATTTGGTAGTGATACGTTTCAGAGTAGGTTACTTGATAATGATAGTCAGATATTCAATCATATACTGAACTACCTGTCTTGGGTGTGACTTTTATATATGTCTTGCAACGACTCATTTCATTTTTTCATTTTTGACGCTCAATACATTGACTGATTCTCTTGAGATCATTTGATACATTACACTAGACTTGTTCATGATTCAGTCTTTTCTGGCTTAACGTTCACTGTGGCCAATAATTTGATCTGGATGGTTATTTTATTGACCCCATAGTCCCATATTTTGATATGACCTGCCCAGTTAGTTTTACGTTTAGTGAAAAGAATGAGACAGGTCCGTTCGGTTTAATCCGTTTATCATTTTCAAAATTGGTAATTTAAAATTGTTCCAATAAACTCACAACGAAGACTAGTATAGGGAGAGAACATGCACAACTTGGAATGTTCTCTCAGCCGAAGTGACCGCAGCCCCCCGAGTGGACAGCTTTAAGAAGAGACTTGATAATCACCTACTCACATACTTCCACGTGGACAAACTGTGCATGATGCATGTCTTGAGACCTGCTAGTTGTTATTATTGCCATCGCCTCAGATCATTAACTTAATCTATCTCGCCTTTTATCTCTGTTTTCTCTCTCTTGCTTACACTTCTATCCTCTCTCACCATCTTCATTACCAATTATTAAACTAAATCATCCATTTATAAACTTAGTTTTGAAATCCTCTTATTAGCATTAGAACGTTCTCATTAATGTTCTCCACAATGCGAATAACTGATGTCCGGTCTGAAATGTGATAGCTGTTGGAAACGAACATTTTGATTCAGGTCACAGGGCATACAAACTCACAACTGACTGCAAAGTGACTAGAATTATTGCAGTCGAGTGACTAGACTACCATTCATTGGACACTACCAAACGCCTGGAACCGAACGGAAAGAACGAGAATCAAGCACGAACAAATCAACTGGTTTATACTAGCTGGTGAAAAAGATATTGGATATTGAATATTGAAGGGGATTGCTACTACAAAAGAAGCTAATTGTTTTTAATTTGTACATCATTGAAGAAAGGTGGCGAAAGCTCTTTTCCTTTTCCTAAAACAATACACAATAATGCAACTTTGATAAATATCACAAAGTATTGTGAAATAGTGAATTGTTGAGAGTATCAGCATTTCATGATGCTTAAATAGTGCACAGTTGTTTTTTTAACTAAAGATAGTACGATTATAATTCTCTTTGAAAAAGATGAACTACCCAAGGTTTGATTCCAGCCATAAAAATATAGTATCTAACTACTACTACTAACACTCTTTTAGAACTTATCTACCCTAAACTTTACTGATAGTCACTTTACTAAAATATATAATCAGCTTGCAAATATAAGGAATATTGTAGTAAAGGAGAACACAGGTGAGGGCAACCGAATTGTATTTATCGCAAATTACAGAGTTAATTGATAAAATAGGAAAACCATATCGTAAATCGTTCATTTGCAAAATATCAATCCATCATATTGAACTGGACTGTTCCTGTTGCAATACATCAATCCATTGTCACTATTCATGCGTTTCATACAAATTCCATTGTGTTCCCGCTCTTCCTTTCTTGATCTTCCCCCATTTTCTGCTACCAGACATTACGTTTTTATTCACGTCATATACTACTTACAAGTAGCGCGCACCACAATATCACTGAATTTGTACAATAAAATAACAAAGCTCAATTGAATCGAAACATAAAATTGACAAAAAAGAAACTACTTATGCTTTTTCTAAACTGTTGATTTCCGTAGCATAGAAATAGATCATACAATCATAAGAATGACATTATAGATTCCGTTCAATAATAACTTGATGAGAAGAACAGAAATTCCTGCGATTAACCTTAACATGAAACATATTGTCAGGCATGTCATTGTCAAAAAAAACAGATTGATTTCCAACACATCAGCTGAAGAACTCTAATCAATCAATTTCAGTAGTATTTATTACCACTCTATAAATTCTTACACCATATACAAATAGGCTGAAATCATGAAAAATAAATATTTCTTGTATTGTTTTAATTATGTTGTTATTTTCTCAATTTTATTATTGATGACAAATGGTGCTAAAAAAAATTTAACTCAACAATTAGAAAGTATACATCGTCTACATACATATTATAGAAATTCTATTCTATTATGTAAAGTTCCAACACAACCTCCAGCTGATGATATGGAAGTATTGGTAGGATTTATTATTTGGTTTGTTTAAATCTGGTTTGTTTTTTAGTTTTGTAAGTGATCAAAATATTTTTTCCTTTTATAGAATTATGAAGATTGTTGCTTTGTGTATTGGAACCATGAATGAATCAATGTTAGGTCATTATTAGAAACCTTGAAGCACTGGACGATCGTTTTATCCTGGTACGGTACTCATCAACAGTGCACATCAAATCCATGACTTCCGTAACTCGCCGGTTTTGAACTCAGGACCTTCAATCTTGTGTGCGAATGCTTAACATCTGGGCCACTATGCCAGCATCCAACGAAGTTAATAGACCAGGGTTAGACATTTACGTCATTGGATGCTAGCTCAACGATCCAGAGGTTAAGCATCCACATGCAGGATTGATGGTCTTGAGTTCAAAGCTCGCAAGTAACGGAAATCGTTAGTGAGGACTGCTAATGAATCTCGTACCAGGACTAAGCGATCGTCCAGTACTTCTAGGTTTCTAACAATGACCTAACATTGATTCATTCATGATTATATTCATTGTCAGGACCATAAATACCTTTCAGTATGTTAAACGCAAACTGTTGATAGTTTCATGTACAAATCTTGGTCAGATTAAAAAATACACAATTTTTCCCAAAGGAAAACGAGTCTAGTACCAAATTTAAAACAGTCTAGTTTATATCTTACTAGTTTTTATGAATCATTTCTCACTGAAATTTCTTCCTGACAAAAAACTACTGCCGGAGAAGATTCGAAAGATAAAGAATATTGCAGTTCCCAACTCAAAAAGGAAGTTATGACAGTTCCTGGGAAGAGTGGCCTTCTACAGCAGATTCGTCAAGAACTTCAACGATATAGCAGCACCTTTATATAAAATGCTAAGCAATGCAAAATTTACGTGGACAGAGACCGCTCAGCAAACCTTCGACCGAATCAAAGAGCTGTTAGATGACCGCCAAATGACGCTGAGACTGCCGGAACCCGAGAAGCCATTTACAGTGGCCACTGATGCGAGCGATCACAGTATAGATGCTGTCTTGAGGCAGTCTGAGAGAGTGGTGGAGTATGCCAGCCGTGTGGATGTGGACAGTCCAGTCCAGTTTATATCTCACTAATTTTTATGAATTATTTCTCATTGAGATTTCTTTCCGATAAAACATTTTTTAAAATTTTTTTTGACAGCGTTGGAATAAAATACTAGAAAGAAATGCTCAACAAGTTGCAAATAAATGTGACTTAAGTCTTGATTTAGTCAATGATAAATCATTGGATCAATTTGAATCAATCGGTCAAAATGTCGCTGAAGCGGATACAGTTGAAAGGTAATGTGAATGGATGTTTGTTAATATAAGCAAAATTTCAGTGCAATGGAAAATTGGTTCCGTGAATATAATAATTATACATATGCCACGGATATATGTACTGCAAATTGTTCAAATTATAAACAAGTAAGTCACTGACTGGTTTAACTGCCACTTCCTATGTGTATATATACTACATGAGATGGTGGAGAAAACTTGTAGCTCAGGTGGATGATTGTGGTGGTGTTTTGTTCTCTGAGCTGGATGTTTAGGTTGTGGAGCTTTCATTGTTCTTATTCTGAACAACATCATCAGCACAAACTTCACATAGAAGTGAAGCATTCGAATTTCTCCACAACTGACCTTTAGCTTGTTCTGCTAACTTCGATCTTGATTGGTTGCTGTTGACTTTTGACCTGTCGTTGTTTGCAACTTTGTTTTGATTGAATAAAAGTCATAAACCCCTATTAATAACTATTAGCCAGATAAAATATCGAAAGATTTAGGTGTTATGTTAGTCACTAAGTACGCTTGAAGCTATTACGAGTTCACCTTAGTCGATAAACGCGAACGAGACAATGAACCAGAGTCCAGGTAGGCTACCTTGAATCCCAAGCTGTAAACAGAAGGCCTTTGTAAGCGTAGAAAGTATATTTTTACAAACACCCAGCAGTCACAGTACAATCAAGCATACAACTCTCGTTTATTTCATAGAAACGTGCTTGGGACAGTTACGAAAATAGCACACTAAAATACACAGCAGCCAATCATAGTCCTGGATTTTCCTGTTGGGAAATGAAATCTCAAGGTCAACCGATCAGCCCATGCTGGCAAACGTGAAAACCAAAATAAGGCATTTATCAAGCGAGTTTTGGGGATCTAACATCCGCAACATTAGGAAACGTCGAAAGGTGTTTTACCGTAATTTGAAACTTGTCAGCTGTACAACTTTCAATTTGTAATGCCAGCCGAAAACACTGTATTTTTCACACTTATACTAAGTGTACATTATTCAATATAATTGAAATTCTAAAAGCTTATCAATCAGATTTCCAAGAAAAATTTGAAATTAAGAAAATCTCAAATGTCCCAATGGATGAATTCAGTATAAGTTAAGGGAAAATTCCGAGCAATAACGGTATAAACTTACAAATAAGACCCAATTCATTAACGATATAATTAAATTAACATTTCTCGACATGAATAAATCGTGGAATCTAAAAATCAAATGATCTATCATTTCACCTCAAATCAGTCCGGTGTTGATGATCGAACAATCCCCCCAATCATTTTTTAGATAGACTTTACTAACTAGTATGGAATTTTAAAGTTCAGTCTTTAAATTGCTTACTTGATTCCGAAGAGTTGATTCTAAACACACACACACAAACAAACGCACACGACGAAACTAAACAAAAAATTTAACATTCAAGAATTCTGATTATTCTATAAAAATAATTTGTTTGTATCGATGAATAATTCACATTTGTAGTAAATTTTAACTATGGCGGTATTCGCTAGTTAAAACTAACCATTTGTAAAATTGATCAATTGAAAATTCAAAAAAATTATTCCCGCCTTTTTAAATTTTAGATGGTTTGGGCTTCGACTAAACATATTGGATGTGGTCTAAATAATTGTAACAAAAAATTAATGATTGTTTGCAATTATTCTCCATCGTAAGTGTGAAATTATTTTGCCTAAAATATCTATCAAATTTATTCATGTTTTTTCTACCTACTGATAATTTTTTTAAGTAGTTAGTTTGTATTTGACAGTTGTGAATCAGGTGTTGAATTTAGTTAAACAAACCACCGAGTTGTTCTACTTTAGGATAACAAATCAAATTGCTCATATAATTTCACCAGGGATATAACCCACTACCTCCATAACTCATGGAGAATGCCTAAATCGCTGATATCCAATCATTATAATTCCTAGGTTCAGTCGGTGCATCACACAGAATAACAACTATCTGTGCAAAAGTAGTTCGATTTATAGACCTCGGATAGTTAGTTTTTTATCTTACATGTGATATAACTTATTAGAATTTCATACGATTAGGCTTAATGTCATAACTTTACGGTAGAACTTTCTTGTTAATTGATACAATTCGGTATATAACTTATCCTCTTATCAAGTTTAGTTAAACAAACCTAGTTAAATGAAACACGGTATTCAGTGGATTGCTAAGACGCAGCTGGACGATCTGAACTTCGCAGATGATCTGGCTCTTCTATCGCACACGCAAAAATAAATGCAAGAGAAGACTACCAGTGTAGCAGTAGCCTCAGCAGCAGTAGGTCTCAACATACATAAAGGAAAAAGCCAAATTCTCCGATGCAACACAACATGCACCAACCAAATCACTCTTGATGGAGATGTCTTGGAGGACATTAACACCTTTACATATCTGGGCAGCATCATCGACGAGAAAGGTGGATCCGATGCAGATGTGAAGGCGCGGATTGGCAAAGCAAGGGTTGCATTTCTACAATTGAAAAATATCTGGAACTCCAAACAAATATCTATCAACACCAAAATCAGGATTTTCAATACAAATGTCAAGACAGTTCTACTATATGGAGCGGAAACTTGGAGAACTACGAAAGGCATCATCCAGACAATACAAGTGTTTATTAACAGTTGTCTACGCAAAATATTTCGGATTCGTTGACCAGACACGATCAGCAACAACGTACTGTGGGAGAAAACAAACGAGATTCCAGTGGAGGAGTAAATCAGGAAGAAGCCCTGGATGTGGGCAGGACACAGATTACGAAAAGCACCTAACTGTGTCACAAGAAAATTCCTGACATGGGACCCTCAAGGCAAAAGGAAAGTGGAAGGCCAAGGAACACATTACGCCGAGAAATAGAGAAAGATATGAGAGGAATGAACAAACATTGTACAGAACTGGAGAAGGAAGCCCAGGACAGAGTTGGTTGGAGAAAATTGGTGTTCGGCCGATGCTCCATTGGTGGCAACAGGTGTAAGTAAGTAAGTAAGTTAAATGAAACATTGTTCGTAGCCATTTTCCAGTACCCATCTTCAAATATTCTCACTTTTTATTAACAAATACGTCTTTTTCTTTCACGAAAACTTAATTCTCTTCAATATTTTTTTTAATTATAGAGCTGAAGATAAAGGTAGACCTTATGTAAAAGGAGATGAAAGTCAATGTTCAAAAAATGATTAGAAAACTTTTCAGACAAATCGCTGGCAAATTCATTATTACTTACTTACCTATCAATTAAAAACAATCTATAAACATAAATATAGATGAATATTTATTTTTGACTAATTATGTTTTCAAAATTCAATGTTCGTTATATATACAGTATATAATGTGTATGAAAGTTGATTATTGTACAAAATGCCTTGTCATAGTAGTGTGGTGTGTGCTACTTATACGAACGATATAAGTAGTATAAGAAGGGACGTGAAAGAAGAAGAATTTGCAGGGTCAGAAGAGGAAAACGGAAAGCAAATTGGAGCAAAAAGCAAGAAGTAAATGGAGTAGTACAAACAGGAAGGGAAGGAAGCAACAACAGGAATGGAAGAAGGATAGAGTGTTGGAAGTCAGCTCTCTGCTCCTTGACTCCTACCGGCTCCGCCGCGGCCTCGAACTTCTTCAAGAAGCTTCTTACGTCTCCGTCTTCACACTCCCAAGGCCATGGAGATCTTCATCCAGTATAGAGGCAGTGACACCAATTGAGAAGACTGAGGCAGGCGCGGAAGATTGTGTTGTGTAGATTTACACTCTTAGTCAATTAAAAACGAAAACATTACATTTAACATTCTATTTGCACACCATCTTTGTGTGGTGACTTCCAACACTCCATCCTTCTTCTTCCATTCCTGTTGTTGCTTCCTTTCCTTCCTGTTGGTACTCCATTTACTTCTTGCTTTTGCTCCATTGGCTTTCGGTTTTCCTCTTGTGACCGTGAGAATTCTTCTTCTTTCACGTCCCTTCTTATACTACTTATATCGTTCGTGTAAGTAGCACACACCACAGTAGAACTATGAAAACATTGTTTATGATTAGTATCAACATTGAAATGTTAGATAATGATGAAAAGGGACTGTCCAGATCTTTTAAAAACCTCCTAATCTGAATGTCAACTTGTTACGAATGCACATAAACATGTCATTTGATATGCTTGAATTATTACGAGTTTACCTTAGTCGGAAGACGAGAGTGAGGATTGAAGATCCGGCGAAACGACATGTTACTCTAATCCGAATGTGTCCCAACCCCCCTACTGAGTAAAGGAAAAAACTTGATATGAAGTAGAACATGTATTCTACAAACATCCGGAAATACGAGGTCCGAGTCCAGAAGAAGACAAGGATCCCGGACTAAGGATCCGGGTCCTGGTCTTGGTCATAAAACGTTACAGATAATGCGTATTTATACATTCAGGTCAAATAGGGAACAGCTTCGAAGTCTGTGATATTAAAAGTTAAGGCGACCAATTGGAAAAAACATCTGAAGTGACACTGATAGTCAAGACGACCATAATACTGACCAATAGGAATCGACTAATAGAATTTACACTTACAAAACGATATTTCATAGGATAATTGGTGATTATCCTAACACAACTCCACAAAAGTACTTGATCATATAAAGAAGTTTCTAAATGGTGATTAGGTATAGTTAACTGGAGACTTCGAACTTAACTAAGTCTAATGTTATTTGGTACTCACTCATCAGTTAGGGTGCATTTGTTATCGTAAAAATATTGATGCTTGACGTTAATCTCCAAAAATTAGAATCGAAAACAAAGATTTTGTTTATAAACTAGTATCATTATCGTCGAATATTTTCAGATTATCAACACAGTTCATGTTCTAGCGATTCAATAGCGTTTTACGCTTTAATCTTACATAATTAAAAGAGTCGTCCTGTGGAAATAAATTAGTGAAGCTAGTTACTGAATATTGTTAAGTAGTATATTGTGATATCCGAAAATTATCTAGTCGGCAAGTAAAAAACTACGAACAGATGGGATATTAAAATATTTTATGCTGTGGGATAAAGATTATCAATAATTGACTCAAGATAATGGCAGCAGCTAATAAGAATATTAACTATGTTAACAAGTGGAAACCACAAATGACATGGTTCAAAATATTACACTAAGGTCAATCCCATAAACTTCAGTTAATGAAAATTTGTGCGCCACTCTAAACGATCTGTAACTCAATAATTCTTATTGAAGGGGAAGGTGTTTATTTTATGTGGAGCTTAGCTTCTGAGAGTATTGTTCTATGGGTGAAAGGCCTGGAGAATGCAGATATACTACACGACAGGTGTGCACATGGTCCTTCAAAGTCGAATGATAATACCAAGGTATTAACTGAGGCGAGTAATTGATTGGAACCGTTTAGGCGTTATTTCAAGATCATGGCTTAAATATCTTAAGGGCAGATATATATCTATATAAATCAATGAATTTTGAACACATTTCATTCGATTTACGCAATTACAGCTGCCGAACTATTTTTGGTCATCCCATCCACGTAAGACCTTGACTAGGCGCTTAAGAAGTGTGAGATGGTGGAGAAAACTTGTAGCTCAGGTGGATGATTGTGGTGGTGGTGTTTGGTTCTTTCAGCTGGTGTTTTGGCTGTGGAGCTTTCAGTGTTCTTCTTCTGAACAACATCATCAGCGAAAACTTCATATAGAAGTGAAGCATTCGAATTTCTCCACGTGTATGACCTGTAGCTTGTTTTGTTAACCTCAATGTTGCTTGGTTGATGTTGACTTTAAACCTGTCGCTGTTTACACATTTGTTTTGATTGTATCCCCTTTTTGGTCTGTTTCTTGATCCTATGTCAACCATGATTTTTCTGATTGGTTGATAAATTGGGTCAATGTCGATGTGTTTATTGATTGCTGATTGACCTGAGTACCAAGCTTCTAAAAATTCTCTAGTATTCTTTGTCCTCCCCCTACCCAGTATTTCCACATTGTCCCAATCGAATGTATGTCCATAATTGTCCATGTGTATTGATATAAGCGAAGAATTGTCGTGTCGTTTGACTGCTAATTGATGTTCAAGTAAACAAAGCTGAACAAGACGTCCACTTTATCCTAAGTAGTGTTTTTCACAATCTGAGCAATTTATTTTGTAAATGGGATATTTGGTTTTTCTTCCTTTGTCATTTTGTCCTTTTGTCTATATAGGATTGATTGAAGTGATTCTGTTGGTTTGTGTGCCACACCTATTCCAAATGGTTTTAGTAGTCGTGCTGTATACTCCGATATGTCCTTGATGTATGGTAGGATGATCCGTTTATTGATTCCTGTACTTGATTTCGGTTCTGTTGACGGTTTTGGTTGAAGTTTTTTTAATGAAGTTGCATGGATAGCCGTTCTTTTGGAAGATAGTCATAAAATGTTTTACCTCTTTTTTTAGTGCTTCGTATGTGCTGCAATGTGTCTTCGTTCTCTTGAACATAGTTTGTATGCAGTTGATTTTTAGGGTTCTTGGATTGTTGCTACCGTAGATGAGAATTACGTCTGTATGGGTTGGTTTCCGAAATACTTGAGTTTCCAGTTTTCCTGTGTTAGTTCTGGTGATTAGTACATCCAGGAATGATAGGCTGTTGTTTGATTCCTTTTCCATCGTGAATCTGATGTCATCAAAGACGTTGTTGATCCGATTGTGGATGTTCTCCAGCTCATTCCTTTTGATAATAACGAATGTGTCGTCTAAATAGCAAACCCACATTTTTGGTTTGATCACTATCAAAATCGACGCTTCCAGTCTCTACATTATAGCTTCCGCGATGAGTCGTGATATTGGTGATCCCATTGGTGTTCCTTTTATTTGTTCATAGACTGTGTTGTTGAATTGAAGTGTGCATATCAGCATTTAAATTAGGTGATTATGTAGCTCAACAATGAATTACATAGAATAAACTACCAAATTTCATCCACGTTCTTGATAATGAAGTTAGAGTTAAATTTACATAAAAGATGGCATTCTGACTATTCCACAAATTCTGAACTAGTTCATTCTTCTGGAATCGTTCGAGGCTGCTTGTCTGTGTAGGTTATATCACTGAGTATTTTCTGGATAGCTTTAAAAAGAAAACTTCTAACAGTTAGTGTGGTTTTTTGAAAAATTTTGGTATCATGTCTTGTAGTTTTGTATAAAATGAAGTAAAATGATTGTCAGTAACAGTAATTTCTAAAAATTTCAAATTTCATTAGGCTATTTTGTAAGATGTTCATTGCATAGCATAGAACTATCTGTTTCCTAGTCTGTTAGGTTGATCCTGCACTAGTATGTCGAATTCTTCGGCAGTTACACAGGTATTTGGTTTTACGTAAGCCATGGATCGTGGTAACTCTTCATTCAAGTAAAGTGATACAGCTCCTTTTGGTTCGCTATCGGGGTTTACGTACAAGACTTTAATATTGAATCAGTTTGACTCAGATCGTGTTTCCAACAATTTTAAGTGAATTTTTAAATTGTTGTGATCTGTAGTGTCCGAAACTTGATCGCAATATGTTCTGACCTCTTAGCTAGTAACTTGCACGAGAGGATAAGCACAGAAGAAATAGTTTATTTGGCTACTGGATAAATAATATGTACCAATGCTCGGCAATGTATTTAACAGATTCCACCACTGTATAAAATCAACCAATGGTATGCATTCGTCCTTGATGACATTTCTCAAGGTCATCAGATGACATTCTCATTAGTCCACGTCTAATTGGCTCACTAGATCATAAACATATAATATAGGTCCGATTTCTTAGGCTATTTTTCAACCATTGAGTCGAGATAGTCTGATCAGAAACTGCTTTTCAAAACTTATCATCCAGCCTAAATATTATGAAATTATCTGTAGTCAATCACAATAATTTTAATGTTAATTTTTTGTACGAGCTACCGGTGTGATAACGAGATTCTTCCTGTCATATATTTCAACTTTGTGCTCAGCGAATCACTTTATAATTGTGTAGGTTCAAGTAATATATACTGTGGTACTCCACACTTGTTAGTTAGTTACGCCTGTTACCCCTAATGGAGCATAGGCCGCCCACCAGACTTCTCCAACCAACTCTGTCCTGTACTTCCCTTTCCAATTCGGTACAACTTTTGTTCATTCTTCTCATGTATTTCTCTACTTCTCTTCGTAATGTGTTCCTTCGCCTTCCTCTTTTCCTTTTGGCTT